CCAAGTGGGGGCAGTAGAGGCCGCCCTGTCACAGCAGGCCCTCCTAGCCACCTCCAGCCTTCCTGCCCTGAGGACCCAGCAAGACCCACAGATCGCTGGGCGTGTTGGCATGCCCGGAACACCAGCACTCGGGAGGCTGAGGCGAGAGGATCGTTGCGAGTTTGAGGCCAGCCTGAACTGTGTAGTGAGGCTTTGTCTCAAAAAGACCAAAAAAAAAAAAAAAAAAAAGACCCAAAATGGGGCCTTCTTGAGCCCCCTGTTAGCTCTGGCTTTGCTCTCTGGGTGCCAGATCCAACCTGAGCAATTCCAAACAGCTGCTTTTTAAGCCCCAGTAAAATAGATCAGAAGGATGAAAATATCAGATCATTGGATGCTCAAACATTTCCCACCAGCCAGGCGAAGTGGCACACACCTGTAATCCCAGCGCTTGGGAGGCTGAGATGGGAGGATCGCTGTGAGTTCGAGGCCAGCCTGGGCTACATAGTGAGCTCAAGGCCAGCCTGAACTGTTACTGGAATCTCCTGGCTTTTGACTCTCCTGGATGTGTACATCAAAACGCTATGGGGTAGCTCCTTCTAAAAGTGGCTGGACAATCAAATGTTAACAGGTTGTTTGTCTCTCCCTCTGGAGTTAGATTCTAGGTTCTTCTACTCTTGAACAAAGAACTGAATGAAATGAGCAAAAAGCAGTGGCAAAGTTTATTTGAAAATTGAAATTTAAAAGTGAAGCGTGAGAAACTGGCTCTGTGGCTTGAGCTTGGACTGAGTAAAAGAGGAAAAAGCAGGATAAAAGAAAGCAAGGTGGGCCAGCGAGGAAAGCCACCATAGCAAGCTCTTCTTGGCATCTGCGTCCTTTCATGCTGTCCAAATCTCAAGGAAACCCAAAAGAACCTCTACGTTCTTGCCTGAGAAGCAGTGCTGGGATCCCACGCCTCAGGCTGACGTCATGTCCAGGTCATCCTATTGAAAACCTGCTCAATCTCGCCAGAAGTCCAGGGTGGGTTGGGAACTGTGCTGCGCATGCGTCCGGGATCTTGTCGTTAAAAAGTCGGGTCTACTTGTACAGCCAGCTTTACCACGCTCTAATCTCCTGTGTCAGAACTACATAGTGAAACCCTGTCTCAAAAAACTCTGAAAGTAATTTAAAAGTGGCGAGGGAGGTGGAGGTGGAGGCAGAAGTAGCGCAGGTTCGAGGCCAGGTTGGACAACTTAGTGAGACTTTGTCTCAAAATGTTTTTTCTGTTGTTTGGTTTTTCTTCCGGTACCGGGAATCGAACTCATGACCCGAGCTAAATCCCCAGCCCCTGTCTCAAATTTTTAAAAAAGAAAGGGCAAAGAATGTGACTCAATGGTAGAGCACTTGCCTAGCATGCAAAATAAAGCCTTGGGTCCGGGCCCCAGTACTGCAAAATAAAATCAACTAAGTCTTGGAGGCACCTACTGTAGTTGGATCTCTGACAAAAGCTCTGAGACCGAGACAAGCAGCTTTTCGGGTGCGGTTGCTGCCTAAATACTCCGTTTCCGGCATCCCTTGCCAGGGCCTGTGGACACGGGTCTGGCTAAGGAAATTCAGGGAAAGTCAGAGGGATGGAGAGGGGAGCTGGGAGGGGGTCGCTTCCCTGAAGAAAGCCCAGCATCACAAGCACCGTTCCTCCCCAGTCCTGCTGCTCCTCCTCTGATGCCATGAGATAGAAAAGAAATTCCAGAGATGCAGGCTTGGACCCAATGCCTACAGGCACCATCCCAGAGACTCGGCACGTGTGTTAAAGCTGCTGCCAGTGGCCTTTTCTCCTGATCAGAGCATGACTTAGACCCCCAGCCACGGGAAGATCTGGGGATGAGAAATGGGGCGGAGCTCAAAGCCCCAAAAGTGGGCACTATAATGGGATGCAGGGCCCGGTCTTTAGAGTCCGCGAGGTGAGGGGTCTTGAGAACCACTGGGCCCTTGGAGAACCATCTGGACTTTAAGTTCATAGAAGACCGCTGAACGCTTTGGAGCAGGAGAGTGATGTGCTCTGATTTAGGGTTTTTGTTGTTTTGTGGTACTGGGGATTGAACCCAGGGCGTTCAAAAAATGAGCCCATCTTTTTATTTTGAGATAAGATCTTGTTATGCCACTAAGTTGCCCAGGCTGGGCTGGAACGTGGGATTCTCCTGACTCAGTCTCCCAGAGTGTAGGAATTACAGGCATGTACCACCATCCCTAACTTATTTGGGTTTCTTAAAAGATTCCTCTAGCAGGGATGATGTGAAGACCAGTAGTACAGCACTGCTTAGCATGCACAAAGCCCTACATTCAATCTGCAGCAACACTCCCCCAAAAAAGAAAGAAAAGAAAAAAGACCCATCTATTGCATGGGACAGGCAGGCCCTGCCTTTCAGCAGACCCGATAGCTACTGCCAGCTTCTCTTTGCTCCCTGTCCTGGTCTCTGCTGAGTTTGACGTGGGCCTGTGAGATGGAGGGAGGGAGGACTCCCAAGAAATCTCTTCTTTCCTGTTCAGAGGGACAGAGTGGGCTGGCGTGGCTCCCGCTTCTCCTGCCTGAAGTACAGAAGGGACACCTGGAGTACAGAGCCTTCTTGCAACCAGCAGGTGACAGGCTACGACTGCAGTGGAAAACAAGGCTGCCCCGGGGGCTCATCAGCTTCCCCGAGACCTTGACCCCTGCCTGCTGCCAGACCCCTTATTAGGCGAGCTAATACCCTCCTCTAAGTCACTGTAAACTGGGTTTTGTGTTACTTGTCGCTAAATACATTCCCAACTGCCGCAGTGGACACAGCAGAGCCGCAAGAGGCATGCAGATGACAGACAACGGCGGCTCCGCCCGAGAGCATCTCCCCACGCGTCTCTCCATTTCTAGTCTTCGTTTCCTCGAATTTGTCTTCCACACCACTACACTTCATGAGCTCCTTGTGACTTAAAACCCTTCACAGGCTCTTCATTCCACATGTAAACACCTAACCTCCTTTGCCCAGGACTCAGCACCTTCAGTAATCTGCCCGTCTCCCGTCTGTGAAGACCTCCCTGGGGCCAGGCATGTTCACTCCTTAGGTTCTTGGACCTAAGGTGAGCTCTTAGCCAAGGCCACACATCTGCTGAGTGGGGGATTCTGATTTAAGCTCTGGTCTGGTTTTTTAAAAATTACAATACATTGACTAGGGATATAGCTCAGTGGCATAAGCGCCTGCCTGGCAAGCGCAAGGTCCTGAGTTCGATTCCCGGTACCAAAAAACAAAACAGACAAAAAAACACTTACAGTTCACCACTCTCACTTACCTACAAGTCTGAAGGGAGCTGTTATCTTTCAAGTCCTCAGAGATGCCGTGGACACCCCCAGGATCTTGCCTTCTGTTCTTGCCACTTTCAAGGACTGGCTCTCTACCTTGCCCTGTTACTTAAGGCACAGCCGCTTAGCTGTAATCACTGTGTTTAGGTCCAAGTTGTAAAGAAAAACAGATCACACCAGCTTGATCTGTTGCACCCATCTCTTTTTTTCTAGAAAACAAAAGCTTTCCTAGAGTCTAGAGTTCTGTTAGCAAGGTAATGAGGCTGAGCAGACACCAGTCTGCCCTGCCACCTGCCAGCTGATGAGCTACGGGGCACTCTGACCAGCCCCGCCTCTCCCAGTCTGCACATGCCGGATGTCCCTCCTTCTTCCTCCCAGGGTGGCACCTGCATCCAAGGCAGGTGCGCAGCCGTGATGGAGCCGCTCACTCAGCTCTGCACACGTCCTTTCACCCCACAGAGGCGGAGCACTTGCTCCCAGACGCAGCTAGGAGCAAGGGTTTCAGTGGTGAACAAGTTAGGTTTTTAGGTTTGGTTCCAACCCTCGTGAAGCTTTCAGTCTAACAGGTGAGACATCCAGACAGGTAAAGGTATTCGAGGAAAGAAGTCCCCTCTCCAGACCCTCAGTGGCTGCATGACAGGTCTATGTCCCTCGCCAGGACCTGCCACAGTGCTTCACACAAAGCAGCCTATAACCATGTTTTAAATGCATTTGGGAGGCTTTGGGATGTATTTTAAATGTATACACTGTAAGAGGAATGCAGCCTTATTCCAGCCAGAAGCACCAGAACAGGCCCCCCCCCCCCAGTGCTGCGCCAAGCGCTTGGCACCCTGCAAGCCGCTCTGCCCTCACCGCGGGGCCCTGGTCCCTCTCCCCGGAGAGGCCCAGGGCTCCTGGGATAACCCTGTGCACCAGAGGCCTCCGGGATGTGCGTTTTTGCTGGAGGCTTTGTTTGCATTTTCTCCACAAGACCCTGTCAGTGTCCCAGAAAGCACTTTCCTTGGGTTCTTCGTCCGCAGCTGCTCAGATGTAGTTTTAATCGTCCCTTAAATGCCCTGTTTTGTTGCCCTTTCTGCTACTCCAGGTGATGGCAGCTGCGAACAAGGCAGGCAGAGATGGGAATAAAACTAATACAACCCCGGCCCTGTCGGTGCCTGTTGCCATGGTGATGCTGACACATGCTACACAGGTGAACACGGACCAGCAGATTGCGGAAGCCTGAGGCGGAAGAGGAAGGAAGACCCAATGCCTTCCAGGCCTGGAGAGGACTTCACTGAGGCCCACTGGCCATGCCCCGCCTTAGCGGAAAGTGAAATGAACACGCAGCTTGTTCCTAAAAGTTCTCAAGGATGAAGTTCACCACCTCCGAGTCACCGGCAGCTGACCTTTCACAATATGCATGACCATGAGTAGCTTTCCAGCGTGTAACCTCATTCTCTGTCTTCCCAGCCCAAACCCCCTTCCCACTGGGTCTGTGGAAATAAAAGTTAATCATCACCTCACGTTCTGTAGCCACTCGGGGAAGATGAGGAGGTGGGCTCTCCCTAGTCTCTGCCCCACCACAACCCGCTGTGGCCCTCAGGGGCCCCACAGCTTTCTGCTCTAGTCCCGGTTCTGGACGTGGCTGCAGTGGGAACCCCCATATTTTGGGGCCCCTGGCTGCCAGGGACGAGCTACAGGCCCAAGTCCCCCGCCCGGTGAGATAAGGCACAGAGCAGGAAGGTCTATGTTTAATGAGGATCTTTAAAAGCCTTTGCCACAGCAGACTGAACCCAAGGCAGCCTGGAAACCCACGCTGCCGGCAGCCGGGCTCTCGTGCGTCCTGATGACCCTGGAAAACAGAAACGATTCTGCTAAGTCAGGAGGGTGGCCTTTTCCCACCTCGAATTAGAAGAAATCCCAGCCTTCACAAGGGTTTCAGGAGCCGTCCTCCCTGCACAGCGTGTGGTGCACTATGGCACAGCCTGGCTCAAAGTGAGGGGAAGGGGGCGCCCATCCAAGATGCACCCGAGAAACAACTCCAGGTGCTGACGCCTCCGAGGTCCTAGGGAGAGGCCTCGGGCGGGAGCAACCACCCTTCGCTAAGCCCCTTTCTTTCCCGGCCGTGTTCCCCCAGCCTGTGTTTGCATTCCTCATAATCCAAGTCACAAGACAGGAAGATCCCTGCCACGGGCAGGCTAGACAGTTTCTTCCCTAATCCCCAAAACAGTGTCAGGAAAACTACAAGCTTTCCTGACACTCCTCGTTGGCTTCTCCACTTGCTTTCTTTCACACCCCAGACCAGTAAGCCAGTGCTGCTTTTCTCAGGAGTGGAGCCGCGCCACGTGTAAGTGAAGCTAACACCTACCCGAGGCTGGGCTCCGTCTGGTCTCTCCCAACAGCTGAACACGGCGATTTTGCTAATTAAATGACTTTCTTGTCTTTAATTAGCTGCATGTGAATCTTGTTGGGAAGTCTTGGATCTGTGAAATAGTCTGGGATGAAAATCAAAAAGAAGAAATTATCTACACTCAAGGGGGAAGGAAAGACTGGGAGGGAGGTAGCTTACCCTGCTAAAAAGTTAGGATGGCTTGGCCCTCGGACCGCTGTAAATGCTCCACTTACTGCCTGGGTGTGTGGCCCTCCCCAGAGTGGCTCGGACGTGGCAGCTCACAGTCGCAGAAGGGCTCCACAGGATGCTCCTGCCACACTGCACCGCGCCACTTGTGGGCTGCCTGCTGACACCCAGGGAGCCATCAAGGGCTCAGGGATTGTCCGAGTTTTCTGTTCTGGGCCCATCTTGGGGCCCAAATAAGTGCTATTATTCTTGTCTCCACTTGGCTCACCAGCTCCTGCCTCGGAAGTACTGTGCAGCCCTCTCCTGAGAATACCCTCCAGAGCAGAGCCAGGCTCTGCAGGATGACGACAGGAGAGGGTTTTTATACAACTGGCGGTGTATGAGTCACAGGCAGCATCTGCTGTGGCAGCAAAGACAGACTTAGATTGTGAGAAGCAGTCGGAGGAGGTAAACAGCTCCCAGAGTTCACTGCACCCAGGAAATTGGCTGGCCCAGCGCCCTCCCTCTAAATACCATTGACCTTAAGCCCTCTTGGGCAGCTGTGTCCATTAGAATCACCTGGGAAGCCTTTAAGATTATGGACGGAGGCAGTCCCAACTAATTAAGTAAAAATCTCTAGGGGTGGGGCCTGAGCGCTGGAATTTTTTTAAAAGCTCCCCAGGTGATTCTAATGCACAGCCAGGGTCAGAACTCCTGTAAGATTCCCAGGGAAAGGGCTGCCATCGTGTTCCTTTCAGAATCTCAAAATTCTTAATCCTCCCCAGGAGGAAGTTCTGCCTCATTTCCCATCTGGCCTCATTTTGAAGAATCAACAGTGAAGCAGCAATGCCTTCTGAAACAGCTCCCTTAGGGGACGTCTGGTGAAGGGGGACCCCAGACGAGGCAGGGGAACTCTGGCCCGGCTGTCCAAGTCTAAAGCACCAGGCATAGCCAGGCACAGCTGTACTGTACCGCGCACCGACGCTGCGTGCTCACCTGCAGCAAATTCCAGGACATCGTCCGGTCTTTTCAGGAACATCTCTCTGGAAAACATTAAGGGACCTGGTCAGAGGGGAAGTAGGCTGGAAGGCAGGTCTGGCCTCTGCGTTGGTTGTGCCTTCCAGTAGCAGATTAATGTGGCACACCCATCCTAGAGCCAGTAACCTAGGGGACCTTGGACAAAGACCTTTTATTCATAATTTTTCTTCAACTCAGGAACAAAACATCCTGAATGGCAATAAGTCTACGGTGTTGCTCATTTCACAAAAGAGCTGAGTTTCACCCATTAATGGTCATTACTGGGTGAACATCATTCCAAAAACTTATTTTGCAGTCCTGGTGCTTGAACCCAAGGCCTTTGCACTGAGCTACATTCCCAGCCCCTCTTTTCTGAGTAAATTGCCTGCACTGGGCTCAAATTTATGATCCTTCTGCCTCAGCCTCCTGAGTACTGGATTATAGGTGCGTGCCATCATGCCTGGCTTCACACATTTTCACAAAGCCAGGATCAAGTCAGGGGAGGAAGCTAACCTAAGAGCACAGGGCATGGTCCTCAGGGGGCTCATGCGTGGTGAGACAGGCAACTCCACAATGTTGTGAGGTCGGCTGACCATGAACTCCCATGGCAGAGGGTAAGGAATAAACAAAGCAGAAAGATGAACTTCAGGTAGTTACTGGCCCTGCACTATGATAGGTAACACCCCAAGTCCCAGTGCACTGAAAATGTCTTACATCCCTTCAAGTTTTATGGTTCATAAAATATGCTCACAAGTATTATCTCACTTTACAATGTCTCTGTCAAATATCAATTATTGCATGCTCATCTTACATATGAAGAAACCAAGCCTCCACAAGGTTAATCATTTGCCCAAGTTCATAAAGACAGCAAATAAAGCTAAGCATGGGGGTGCATGCCCATAATCCCAGCACTTAGCAGGCTGAGGCAGGAGGATCGCTGAGAGTTCAACACCAACCTGGGCTACATAGCGAGACCCTGTCCCAAAAAACAAAAGAAAACGGCAGTAAGTAAAGGAGAGCTCCACTGGTGTTTTGACTCCTAGTCAGCGCTTTCCACTGTAGGTTCCACTGGCCCCAGGCTGCCTCACAGTCCCGCTTCCACAGGAGCCCTTGGCCAAGGGCTCCCTGGCCCAGCACCCCGAGTGTCAACACCCGTGGTTCAGTCATTTAGCTTCCTTCTCCTTCCATTCAATTTGATCATTACTGAGCACAATTAAGTGTAAGTAACTGCACAAGGAAGAACTGCTGTCAAAAGGATAAAATACAGTCCTGCCTCAATAAACTTACAAGTGAATAACAGGGAACAGGTAAGTTCTCAAATGTCCAAGAGACCAATAACCTCCAGTAAGTGCTAGTACTCCAAATCCGAGAAAAGCGAGGTTACTGCAAGGGGGACCCCACAAAGAGCAGCTGACATTTGAGTGGGCCCTGGAGGTACACATAAGACTTCAGCAGGCAGGACCAGGATTAAGGGATGACAACATTCCAGAGCCAGAGAAGAGCAAGTGCCAAGCAGCAGAAATGGAAACAGTGCGCGTTAGCGCCTGGGTCGTGTCCACCTTGGCGTCCCCGGAGCGCGGGGAGCCCTCAGGGGGTTCATGAGTTCTGAGTACCTCAGGCACGTCCAGTGCGGCTGGAGAAGGGGCAGTGAGGAGGCTCTGCTAGAGGGCGCTGAGTGCCAGAGAATTTATATCCAACTGGAAAGACACCAGGAGGCTGGGGCATGGCTCAATGGTGGAGCAAGTACTTAGTACCCCAGGGGCCTGGGTCTAACCCTCAGCACCCTAAAAGGAAAAAGGCAATAGGAATGGAAATGGATATAAGGACCAAGGTAGATGTCACACAGCCAAGGAGGTGAGAAGAGAGGAGTTACTAGCTACTCCTGAATAAAAGACAGCAGGCACATAGGTGCACCTTTTCTTTTTTTTTTTTTTTTGGTTTTTCTCCGGTACCGGGAACCGAACTCACGACCTTGCACTTGCCAGGCAGGCGCTTTGCCGCTGAGCTA